GATCGCCTCAAAAAGAAACGTCTTTGTTTTCAGTTTCAGGCGATCGAGTCGGGCGATCGGTCCGATCCAGCCGAAGTGGGCACCCCGTATTAGGTCTGACACGCAGAAAGACAGCCAGTGACAAGGAAGCTAATATATTTTCACCATTCTCTAGGGTTTTAATCTTAGCATCAGACAAGGAACTGTAAGACTTTGAGTGTGATTCCACGCTAATCCGGTTAACCGCTGTATCCAAAAGAAATATTCTAGTTGAAGATCACAGTGTTTGGGCTGATCATTTCGTTTAGTTTTCTATCAGTACAAGTTTCGCCATTTAATCTAGTAGACCGTCGTACAAATCTGACTTCTTAGACATGCTACTGTTACGACAATTTACACAAAATAATGGTATCTTTTTCAAGGTAGAGATCTGTCTAGACTCAATAAACATGTCCTTTTTCTTTTTAGAAAAATAGATGTGAAAAAGCTATGTTTTGAATATCATATCTTTCTTTTTTAATTGTGGAATTGAAGTCTTACTAGACGGAAAAGAGGTTAGTTTATTTGGTAACACTGGTGTTCTTGTCAGTATATCTGCCCCAGAGAAAGAATTTTCCAGAAAAAGCGAGACAAATTCGGGCACAAAGGTAAGCAGCTGGGGGGTGAATAAACTACGAGCGGAAACAAAACGAAGAAACCACGAGTGGAAACAAAAAGATCGGAGTGAAAAAAACCCTAAAGTATGCAATTTGTAACCACTCAAACGAAATCTTGATTAGATTGCAACAAGAAAACATAAACATTAAATGGACACGTAAACTGCATTTGAAACATTTCTGCATAAATGATTTTGTTTTCATAAATTAGAAACAAGAAGATACTATCTCGAAACATCAATCCAAAGAGAGGAGTAAGAATACGTGCGGATCTTACCTTCGGACTCCATTTTGCAAGCTTGATCGTGGAGTTGACTCAACAGTTTATAATCACGACTTGCTCACTTCAGGCACGGGTGAAGTTTTGGTGAATAGGGATGTCGACCTATGATGTGGAAGCTCCGTAGGAGGCGTGAATTCGTTCTTCAAATCTAGTTACTCCCTCCCATTCTACTCGCTGAAGTCAACACGCCATGGTTCTCGGTGTCTCAGAGGGAATACTCTCTTCTCATCGTAAAACAACACTGGGAATGGAACATGCCTGTGCAGGTATTTTTCGATAGTGGGGTCGTTTCCTGGGAGATCCTTAACATCATTAGATGACCTGGGATCCTACAATGCATTTGCCTCTCAGATTTGATGAGCGAGTTGTCTGAGGAAAAAAAGAAAAAGGAAATTAGATTTACATAATTGCAAACCCCCTTTAAAGAAAGGCATAGGACAAGAATCTATTTCTTTTTTTAAAAGTCATGTCACTTTCTGTGAGCGTAGTTATTCTGCTTCAGAGAAAGTATCAACAGAGTGATGTTCTTTTTCGAAAGGATTAAGACGTAGCCTTATTAAAGTTATCTAAATGACGTAGGGTCAAACCTCCCTCTCCTTCATTTCCTTCTAAATTTCTGGTTTATCTACGACTTAAAATTAAAAGAGCAATTGTCTTGAGAACATATAAATAAATATGATCTTTGTTGTTGTAATAAACAAGCATGACATGCGCATTAATTTGTAGGAAAAGTTGTTTTGCCTTTGTTGTTGCTCGGGGTTTTTTTTCATACCTTATAATTTGAATCAATTTATATCTCACATTCATTGGGGGGAAAAAAACCCAACAATTAGTGAGCTTTAGGGGGATAATAACGCATTCACATTTTTGTTCAATTATATTTACGACCAGACATTGAAAAGACGTTCATTGGGACAGTAATATATCATCTTAAGAAACTAAAAAGAAACAAGAAAAGCAAACTATAGAGATTGTTTGTCAACGATTCAATCAGAAACTGATATAAGGCAAGAGATAAACTATCCTGCGTTTCCAAACAAGCAACACAGTCGAATTTCCAGGTAATGTATACGACGTGATTGTTAATTTTTAATTTTGTTTGCTTGTTTGTATGTTTTGGGTTTTGGGTTTTTTCCAGGGGGGGTGTGTGTAGGTTGTTGTTGTTGCTGTTTGTTGTTGTTGTTGTTGTTGTTGTTGTTGTTGTTGTTGTTGTTGTTGTTGTTGTTGTTGTTGTTGTTGTTGTTGTTGTTGTTTTGTTTTTGTTTTGTTTTGTTTTTTTTGGGGGGGGTTGCCTTGATCACAAAGCCTGTGAGTTTCAGGTTTTATTTTTCAATGTTGGTGATTTTAACGATTCCATCAATAAAACAAAATTAGGTCGTTTAGGAGACTGGTCTTGACTGTACTTGACAGGACCAACTCAGGCTGATAGGAATACAACGTCCCAGCAGAAAGACCAAGACACTTGATAAAAATTCTTTCAACACAGGAATTGAACTCAGGTCTCCTGCACTCGACGACATATCGCCAAAAAGCTACACCACAGAATCCAGTCCTGTGGGTCTGTTCCCACGTTTGAAAGGTACTTGGGAAAACATAGTGTCGAGTAACTTTGCCTTTATGTTGGGATATGTGTCACGACACGGTGGAATCAGACACTTGACAATTTTGGGCTATATGGAGTTATTGGTATCATTTTAAAGGCTGTTCATTTGCCTTGCGTTTGATGAAAAAAATATCCAGTTATCTTGAATACATGTCGAGATATTGGCGATGGAAAGAGGTGGGGGTTGCCTAGTTTCGTAGGTAAAAATAGCGAGAAAATGGTCGCCAAAGCTGAGTTGTTTCCTTAGTCTGAGGAAACTGAAAATGTACATCTTTTATGCCTTTAATCAATGTTTTTCTGTAAACTCCACACAGAAATATGACATGAAAGGTGTTGAGCCAAAAAACAAAAATTAGATTTAAAAAACCACACCTGCAGGAAAATGCCAGTTTCTTGACTTTCATTAATTTGACGAGCGCCTGAACTCACCACGCTGCCTCACATATTCACACAGGCCTGGCTCACACTGACGGTCAGGGTCGATTTGTCGGACTTTTAAAGGATGTAAATTGTAGTAATCATGTCGCACATAATTAAATAATCATTGGCTGACGTCTAGTCCTCTAATATTATACAGATCAACATTATGAGCAGACATACTTTTACCAAACAGCAAGAAAAAAAGGCTATAAGACGGTTCTTAAATCCTATTAAATGATTAAAATATTGGTACCCATTATATGTAAAAGGGCTGGCAAACGAAAAAAAGAACGAGAGATGAGAGAGAGAGAGAGAGAGAGAGAGAGAGAGAGAGAGGGGAGGGAGGGGGAGAGACGGAGAGGGAGAGAGAGAGAAAAACACACAGACACACGCGCTCGCGCAATCAACACAACACAAACACACAGAAACACACACACACACACACACACACACA